GGAGCGGACCGCGAACACACTTTTTGAGCTCGAAATATAAACGAGCCGAACACACTTTTTGGCTTGCTCATGTTCGGCTCGTTTACACCCCTAATCGGGATTCAATTGGATGACATAACAAATCATAAGTTTATTTAAAAATAACATAAATTATGTAATAGTTATATAATTGATGCTTTAAAAATTTTATTACAAAAATAATATAAAATAGTAAAATTATTTGTCCAATTAATTTTGTCAAATTTAATCAAACTTATTTTAATAGTGGTATATTTTGAAGGTAATATTAAATATTTAGTGTTATGTTTAAAAATATGAAAGATTAGGTGTTAGATATTAAAATTAATTTCTCTTCGGCCCAGAAAATTATTCTTATAAAAATAAAGATAATTATTTAAAAGTAAATAAATTTTAAATTATTTTAATAAGAATAAAATTTTCATATATTTTATACTTTATTATTAGTTAATTGTTTGGAATAATTTAATATCTTATTTAAATCGTTATTATTATTATTATTATATATAATAAAATTTAATGTGGAATAATTTCTTATTCTTATTAATAAGGACTACTAATTTAATATGTGCATCTTCCGGCATTGACCATATCTTACTCTTACAAGTCTTATCATATAAATAATTTAATACACTATAGCTTTATGGGCTTAGCCAGAGCTGCAGCACACAAAAAATTGGTGTAGCACCAAAAACTTCTAAATGAGAGACAAAACAGAAGTATGGACATAAAGTTGTGTTTGGACAACGAACCTAATCCACCGAGAGAAGCGGAGGAGAAAATAAAAACGATCTCAGGTAGATCGCGTCAGTTGTCCAGATTCCAAACGTAATATTTTTTTGAACGACTGTGGGCGCAAGAGGCAAAAAATTAATATGAAGCCGGTCTCGGCTCTTCATTTCTATTGTTGAACCGATGGTTCGATCATTTTTTTGTTTTTAACAAGTCCATGTGGGATACGGGTTTTAGCCGAACCAAAAGTGTCACTAGAACCAGCTCGTGGTCAAACTGATCGCACCAATCCAATTTTTAAAATCTTGATTACCGCAACTTAAAGTGGCGTTAATATGTTAATATGTTGGGGCCTACTTATCATTCCACAATAATTGTTTTCTATTATTGTTAGCCCTCCTCTTCCTTCCTCTTTCTTAAACTTCCTAAGCTTATAATTTTGTTTAATTATTTGTTGTAATTATCTTTCATAAAGGCTATTAAGAAAATCATGTTAGTGATAATTACTTCTTTTTTGTTTTTTTTTTAATTCATTGATGCAATTAAATTTTTAGGGAGTGAATTATTTTATTTTTAGTTCACTTTTTTAACACAATGAAGTGTCCAACTATGGAAAAAAATATTACATCACAGGACTCTGCACGTAGAGCTACGTGCGGAGTCCAATGAAATCACGTCACATACGTGAAAGTGAGAAAAAAATCGGCCCTGTAATACAAGAAAATATTTCTCCCGTGTTATTAAGGTGTTATTGTGTGTTATTCAAGTGTTATTGATGTGTTATTGTGTTATTATAACACCAAGAATATTCTCATAACACAATAACACGTGAATAACATAAATAACACCTGAATAACACGGGGGAGAATATTCTCATGTGTTATCTTTGTTACCGGGAATATTCTCATATGACGTGATTTCATTGGACTTCGCACGTAACTCTACGTGTGGAGTCATGATGTAATATTTTTTTCCCAACTATGCAAGTAAGGAATGTTATTTCCCGAATGGAAAAATAATTCATTTGAATTTTTTTATGTATTTATTAGAGTAATTTTTATTATTTAAAGTGTTGATTATGTTAATATTTAATGAGTGTTTAGATTAAACTAGATCAATTAATCAATTTTTATTAAAA